AGGTATTTTTAAATTGCACCATGACCATCTTTACTCTGACAACTGAATTAAAAGCCACTCCTTATTAAAATACTAAATGGGGATTTAACAATTCTACAGTTTCTTCAAATGGTTATTAGCTGACAGAAAATCTTGACCAATTACTTCTCAAAACATAAAATTTTAATTTACAAAATAATAAACTCTTCCTGTCAAGCTACAGTTGTACTGAGTTATGATTAATGTTATGAAGGATATATTTAATAAGTGCATGTACAATATGGTTAGCTACTGTGGTAACTTTTAAGATTTATTGGTAAAGAATAGAATTTGCTCTGGAGCAGGATTAAGGCAGGTACATCTTTCTTTTTACACAAAGTTTTAGTATAAAGTTCTTCAGTAGTGTTAAGTATTACTTATGAAATTATGCAGCTTCTTATGCAAGAATTATAGGGGTTTTGGAAATAAATCTCTGCAAGAGCAAGTATCATAGTTTTCCACAGCTTTAGCTGCTATTGTGTGATATTTCACTGAGCACAGTCTGATCTAATTTGCAGCATATACATAAAAACTACTGCAAAAGAAAACCCTTCAACTATTTTTTTTTCCCACTCAAAAAACAATCCTGATTACACATAGGGGTAAGAAATTTTGGAAAGTGTGAATGAGACACAAGTGTCTAATTAACAGAACACAGAACTGTAATGTCACCTCTAACTATAGAGAGGCTTTCTAAAACAGCATACACCATGCTTACAAACTTGAACATCAGTTCCTGAGCATCAAAATCAGAGACCTCCCTACAAAGATGTCTGATAACAACAAATATAGGAGAGTCTATTCTCTGTCAGACAAAGAGCCATTAGCAATACACATGCAGCAGGGGAGGAAAGAAAAAAAGTAAATAACATACCATAGAAACACCAACAAAGACCCCAGAGCTATTAACGAAAGAGTGGCTCACAGGCCACTTACAATAAGAACTATAAAATCAGCAGAACAGTCTCGAATGATAACTTGTTCTACTCAAAACCCCAACACATTTGACTTGGCAACACTGCACCTTGTGAGGCAACAAACCACAAGATAATTTTGAGCTCAAAGTTAGAAAGGCAAAACTACATGAAAGCTTCAGTTCAACTAAGGTAACTTTTTTAATGAGTTGCAACCAATATAGATAATCCATCACATGGAAGTAACCCTTTATTTTCCAACTAATTATGGCTGGTTTCTAATCAAATTAATTTTCCATGTCAGTTGCAGCAGAAGAGATAAAAATATAATTTTATAATGAAAGCAAGCACCCAGCCTAATCACAAAATAATCCATGTCTTCTCCATAACAGAACCTTCCTTCCACAATTACCAGTGCAGGCTGACAAATGTTAAGTTACATCCAGCAGAAGAACATCAACATCCAACGTAGTTTTCCAAAAACAAGGCAAAGCCACTTGTTCACATCAATTTAAGAAAACTTTTTAAAAACAAGACAAAACCAAAAAAAACCAAAACAACACAAAAAAAACCCCCTGAGATTTAATGCTGCTTTGTCTCATCCATGTGATGTAAGGCTCATTACAATGTGAAAGGTACAAATACAATTTTACCACTATCCAATTTTCAGAATTTTACGTTGATTACCATTTAAACATTTGTTCTGTGAAGATTTATATTGCTTCTGAAGAGGAAAAAACCTCACACGTGTAAGTGACAAATTCAGAGAAATCTGTTTCAGTTATTTTATTCAGAAAACTTGGTTATAAACCCAAACTGAATAAGAACATCTCTCTCAGTAATGCCTTTATTAGCTTTTTTTTAATCTGTTACACACAGCTTACAAAAAAAACCCAGCACATACATTAAAATCCACTGCACATTTTAACTTAATGCACTGAAATCACAGAAAGAGATCTCCCAGGTCTTTACTAAATTAAATCTGGCCCTCCCTTAATAGCAATTACAGTTCTTATCTCTGTAACTCCGTAACTCCTACCAGAAGGTTGCTTTGGATCTTCCTGTCCTAACAGTTAGGAATCCCCTTCTAACTTCGAAATGGGTTGGTGTAGGGACAGCTTGCATCAATCTGAATTAGTGTAAGAATTTCCTCTTCTCTTAACTCTCTACCCTATACATTTACAGATAGCAATCAGAATGGTTTCTTCCTGCTCCAGAAAAGATTTGTATATAGGCATTAATGGAAGACCCTCTTCCTTGCTTCAGACCTATCAGTCAGGTAGCCATGCAGCAAGTCAAATAGGGAACCTGATCCAACAGAAAACTGACCCAGCAGAAGAACCAGTTCTCTGTCAGATCAATGTGATCCTTTCAACAGCAGCCTGTTAAAGCAGATTAAATGTATCATGAAACTGCACATCAAGAGTTTACAGAGGACTGGCTAGCCATCTCAAAAATAAAGCAAACTTGGAATAACATCTCATAAGAAGCAGTGCTTAAAGCCAGCATTTTCTCTTTAACAGGCACTTGAACCTCCCAACCATCACGAAGGAAGCAATGGACAGAAAAGGAAAAAAAGCTGTATCATTTTTCCAGAGGTGAACGGCTCTGTTTCAGCAAGTGGTAACTACTCATGTTCACAATGCAATTAACCCTGGCATGGCCAATGCAAAGCGATATAAATTGCTGCTGAACCAAGTTCAGACTGTATCATTCTCTCCTCCCTCAGGTAGAAAAAAGATGCTTTAAGAGTCCCTCACTAGGTTCATTAAAACCAACAACATTCATCCAACATGTCCACGTTTGGTGAAATACATAGAATGTATAGAGGGTTTTGAGGGAGGAAGTGGGGTAGGGTGTGTTTGGTTGGGTTTTTTTACTAATTTTAATAGTATCAAGACTAAATTTAATCTCATAGTAGGTCTCCTATCAGTTAAGACACCAAATACAAGGTGTTAAAGAAAAAATACATATTTGACTAAGCACAAAGATTTTTAAGTGGTACAAAATAAATCTCAGTGAGTTTGAAAATCATATAAGCAACCTAAGCTTAGTGAAAGCTCAACTGAAGTCAGACAAGTTCAGTGTGTCCAAGAATCTGATTCAATATAACCTGACCTCAATTTCCTCACTAGGCACTCACTTCAGTTAAAGAAATAGTATCAACATTTAATAGCACCAGTAGGTAACTAGCAATAAAGTTTCTCTAAAGATAGTTATTTGCTATTCTGATTTAGCATCCACCTGTACAATGGATGTATGCTTATACATAAATATTTAGAAATACATTTTACATATCAAAAGATACAAGCTTGGGGGGCGGGGAGGGAAGTTTCCAAATTAAACTCTCACCCAGACATCCTACAGGTACTGCAAAAGAAAATAACTACTACTTAAATAACTCATATGACCCATGTCACACCCTAGACCAGGATTAATCCAACACTTTTGAGGCCTTTTTTACCTTAGAAGAGGAATTTACTCCTCAGCAAAGACATAGCTTATGCTAGTAGAATCACTTCCACTTGGCTAAATTTGATCCATTCCCCAGACCAAGTAAGACAAAGTCCTCTGGCCAGTAAACCCACACCCGTGGGGGACCTCCACTGGCAGCACTCGCTTGACATTGAGCACCAGTCTGGTCCACGCCAGCCACCTCCAGAAACCTGAACCCTCATCCCTCCTCAGCCCCTTTTCACAGCCTAGGAAGTGCAAACAGAAACGCAAAGGCACCACCTGGGTCAACAGCAAGCCATCCTATTTTAAGGAAGAAGTACTTTTCTCAGCTATTTTGTTTCTGTCTGTGGAAAATAAAAAGCTTAATGAAGAAGCTGAGTACACCCAACTTGCAACCCAGACCAATAACATGCAGTTCTGGTTGTCATCAGCCTGACGACAATTAGCAATTGGTGTGTAATGCTGAAGACAACCAACAGCACGAGCAGGCAAGACTTCTGGATTTTTTTTCATTTAAGTGGCCTCATTCATAAGCAATAGCAATCACAGTCTTAGAGCTGGCCTTTGCCATCTGCAGTATTTGCTGGAGGTTTAGAATGCTACATACAAATAAAAGCGAGTTTTCCCAAAGTAGTTCATTAGCAACAAGCAACACCTAGGTCAGGAGATGAAAAACTTTCCATCACACATACTGTTAACAACAGTCACCTTTTCACACAGCAAAATTCAAAATAATCCAATCCAAATATAGGGGATGGAGACCGAACACATCTGATCTGCATGAGCTGGACACATGAACAAAGCACTGAAGCACACTACCAGAAAGCGCCCTACCTACAGGGACTCGGGAAGGGAGGCGGCAGACGGGTTAAACCTCACACGGCAAACCGGGAGAAAAGCAGGTTGGCTGGGGTGAAACGAAGCTCTAATCCCCCCCGGCCTTATGTGCCACCGACGGACATGGGGAGCTGGGCCGAGGGGCACAAGGAGACGGGAGCAAGACTAAACAGTGAGGGAGAAGAGGAAAGGGTTTAAATATATATGTATATAAAAATAAAATTAAAAGGAAGTCACCGCGATAGTAGCAGATCTAGGGGTGAGATTTACCTCCCCCATGAAACCACCGGAAAAATGCAGAGTAATCTAAGCGGATGCATGCACACGTGTGCATCCACAGACACACACACACAAAGCACAGAGAGCGCATTTGCAGAGTTGTCGAGGTCCCAGCGCAGAGCGGCGGGTCAGGGCTGAGGCGGCAGCCACCGGGGCGGCGGCTGACGATGCACCCCGGGGCGGCGGCAGCGGCAGCACCCTCGGCCGGGCCGGGCCG